TGTTTGTATGTGTTTGTGTGGTGTGTGTGTGTGTGTATGTGTGCGTGTGTGTGTGAAGGCGTTTTATAAGCCACTCTCAACACAATTTAGATTAATAATTAGGAGGTGGGCTTCGACTCAAGATACATGTACTTGAGAAAAACTCTCCCACAGACAGACAGACAAATGGACAGACATATAGACAGACACAACAGAGGCAAAGAAAAGAAATAGGACCTACCAACTACAAGTGGCACCGCCCAACCACATGCGTTCCTAAGCTCAAAATGTATGGAGCTGTGCTGTGCTGGACCAAAGATGGTCCATAACAAGATAGTTCACTCGGCCAAAAAAGTGTCCACGGAAGTCCGCGCATTGGTTCAGATGTCACAGCAGTCTTTGTTTTGAAGCTCTTTCGTTTCTCCAGAAGAAGAATGGGAATAGCATTCCCTTATGCATCAGCTGTTCCGGTTCGCTCAGTCACTACTGACTCAGTGCGGAGTTTTGGGCTTATTTTATTTTAATGACCTCTCGCCTCTCGTTCTAAGGCGAAATTAAACGAAGAAAACAGTCACCCTTCAACCTGGAGAGGATTTTTGTCAGCGTAACCATTTAAAAGGGCGTTTTTTCCGAAATTCTAATTATAGTTTCTGCAAAATGAGGGTTTTGTTTTTGTTGTTGTTGTTGTTTTGTGGGGGGGGGTATTTTATTTCATTATTATTTTTTGTTGTTGTTGCAAAGTTGTTCAGGCCATCTGTGAATGTTGTTCTCTTACTTCTTCTGCTCTTTTTAGCCTCTATCTTTTCACACAGTGACAGTTTCTCTTGTCTTTTTGACATAATCAATATTGGTCGCTTTTAAGGACAAACGGGCGAACCCAGATTTCGGGGGTTTCCAGAAATCTTGACCTTCACCAAAACTGGGCATTACCTTACCTATTGGAGAAGTTTAGTTTCATTGGTGTGGATATTTGTTTGGTCATACAGAAAACTCACCTTGTCTTTTAAAGAAACTGAACAAGGGTCCAAAAACTATACCTTCCATTTTCTCAAAACAGCATTTTTCGGGAGAGCCCCCTTGTGCTTAAAAGCGACCGTATTATTTATGTGGCCATAAGAAAGAGGCAGTTTTGGGGTTCTTTGGCTACATAAATGTAGGGCTGCCGGTACAGGCCTGTTTGTTTGTTTTTCTTTACAAAAGAAGAAATAAAATGGGGTAGAAGTAAAGTCAAGCCCTCCATTCCGAACTTTTTTAAAAAACCTACTACGGTACTACACACATCCCAAGTCTCCACTTTCATTGCGACCACTTTGGGTCATCGTGTTATTCTCGAAAGACGTTTTTTTGGTCAAGAGTATAACTTAGTTTTAGTTTTAGAAGGGGTGGTTGAAACTTAAAACTTTCTGGTTTGTTGGTTTTGTTTGTTTATTTTTGGCTTTATTTTGTTGTGGCTTGCTTTGCTTT